GCAAAACACACCTCTCACATTGACCACTTAAACGATATGGTTTATGGGGAGCTTGGTGTGAAGGGATTTGAACGACAATTGTTTCCGCATCGGATTCATATTTTCTGGGTTGGGATGACCTGAAACTTTTGAAACCCGTGACAGCAGGCGCTGTGCTTGAATTTTGCGGTGCTTTTTTCCTTCGCTGTAACCCGAATGTGTGCGCATCCGCCGTTTGGAATTACATCCATACAGGTTTGAACCCATGTCCTACCGTCCCGGCGACAAGGTGTTTGCTAAAATTAAGGGATTTTCGAATTGGCCCGCGCGTGTAAGTTTTTCTGTGTCGTGTACTACTTTTCTAGGTTAACCCCCTTCCACCTGATGTACAGATACCAAAAGGCAAACTACCTGTGTTCTTTTATGGAACATATCAAGTGTATGTTCAGCCGTTTCCATTTTAAACTAGTTAGTTCGTTTGTACCGGTCAAGAATATCGTACCATATGAGAAATTCAAGGAGAAGCTAGGCAAACCAAAGTCCAGTCCTCAGTTTATGACTGCTATGCAGGAGATCGAGTCTAATCCTGGAATATATATGCTAGGTGAAGTAGGTTATCTTTTTCTTGGTTTCATGCTTCTTAGGACCCACGTGCGGAACGCTTCCTGCTGCAGTTTTACCAATTCCAACCAGGTAAGTGGCTCCCAAGTTAATGCACTGCTCAGAGTATGTTTTGCAAACGGTGCTCAGTAAAGCCCGTAATTTTGAAAAATCTACGCAAAATTTACAAAGGCTTGGTGACCTGGAGATATCGACCTCGGCGAATTCGGTGTAATCGTAGATCACCTACAGTCATGCGACTAGTGCCGGTGCTGGATGAGCACTGAAATCCGAGGCTGTAATAATGACATTTTAGGAAGTTTGACTGCAGTCAATGAATCCAACCCGCGGTCCAAGTTCATTGCCTTATAAATTGACTGCATGATACGTCTGTACTAACGGGGGAGAGATGGTTCAGTGGAGAGAGCGCGAATTTACTGACC